GCATGAAGCCTAGAGCCAGGCATCCTGGGTTTGAATCCTAGCTCTTGCATTGTGTGGTTTGGGGATGATTATTTGGCCTCACTATGCTTCTGTATCCTCACCTGCAAAATGAAGGCAATAATAGAGTCGATTTCATAAGATTTGTTATGAGAATTAAATTAAATCATTTAATATGAGTAAAGTACTTACAACAGTGCCATTGTATGTTAAGTGTCATGTAAGTGTCAGATTTTAAAAAAAGAAACAAATATATCTATTTAATTTCATAGTGGAGTAACATGCTCAGAGATAAAGAAGCTACTGCAAGGAGAAGGAAATGGCAACCCACTCCAGTATTCTTGCCTGGAAAAGTCCATGGACAGAGGAGCCTGGCGGGCTGCAGTCCATGGGGTTATATGACTGAGCATGTGTGTACGACGGTGGAGGGAGATGGGTTGGTAGCAATAAAGTGGTAGATCTAAAAAAAAAAAAATTAGAAAAAAAAAAAGAAGAAGCTACTGCAGGTCATGGATTAAAGTCTAAAACCCCATTTTTTAAAAGAACCTAAAGACTTTTCACAGATTTTCCAATTACATGGGATAAAAGCTCAAACAAATCATCTCAGAACTATTCTATAGTAATAGTTAGTGGTTCTTGATAAACTGAGGGCTTCCCTGGTGGCTCAGATGGTAAAGAATCTGTCTGCAATGCAGGAAACCTGGGTTCGATTCCTGGGTCAAAAAGATTCCCTGGAGGAGGGAATGGGAACCCAATCTAGTATTCTTACCTGGAGAATCTCCTTGGACAAAGGAGCCTGGTGAGCTACAGTCCATTATTAAATGCCTGGTTCTCATCATGTGACATCATTCACAACAGTTTAAATTTCATATTATCATTTTTTAAAAAATTATTTATTTGGCTGCTCTGGGTCTTAGTTGTGGCATGCAGGATCTTTAGTTGCGGCATGTGGGGTCTAGTTCCCTGATTGGGGATTGAACCCAGGCCCCCTGCACTGGAAGCACAGAGTCTTAGCCACTGGACCACCAGGGAAGTCCCTTGATCATCCCAATTTGCCATGAGAAGTCTATAAATAATTAGCTCAAGGACTCAGGGTTGGGGGAAGAACTAGCTGTCTGACTATAGCATATTCCTATAAATTAACAGAAAGGTACGGCCAATGTACGTTCAGAGAAAAGTACGTAGGATATAGCCAGTGTTTTTTTATTCTTACCCCCTACCCCTTTCCTTTTAGGAAATGGGGCCTGTTCTTCCTCTCTTCTTAAAACAGCTGATCATAAACAGGAAGCGCAGCTGGTGTAGTAAGTCTAGGGCTGAGGATAAGTGGCTTTAGGCAGACTTCCTCCTAGGTGGAGCCCACCTGAGGGTAGAAAAGCTCCTGTTACCTATCAGGGTTGTCTCTCTCAACAAGAAACACTAGAAGGAGAAAAAAGAGGAGTATTCTTCAGGAATGATGGATTTGGATATCCAAGGCCTGCTTTTGTACCACCCACAAACTAAGAATCATATTTACATTTAAGTGGCTGGGGAAAAAAAAAAAAACTTTCATGGCTTGTACAGACTGTATAAAATCCAAATTTCAATGCCCATAGGTAAGGTTTTACTGGTACCCAGCCATGCTCATTCATTTATATACTGTTGATGGCTGCTTTTATTCTACAAGAGTAGAGTTGAGTAGTTATGACAAAGACTCTATGGCCCACAAAGTCTACGATATTTAGTATCTGATTCTCTTAGTAAAGTTCCAAGTTACACAGCTAGCTGATGAATAACATGGAATAGAGCCATAAAGTTGTGAAAACCCACAGATAGTATATACTAGGCCCAAATCAGAGGGGGGCTTCCCAGGTGCCACTAGTGGCAAAGAACCCACCTGCCAACGCAGGGCAACTTAGGAGACACAGGTTCCATCTCTGGGTTGTGAAGATCCTCTTGAGGAGGGCCTGGCAACCCACTCCAGTATTCTTGCCTGGAGAATCCCATGGACAGGGGAGCCTGGAGGGCTACAGTCCTTGGGGTTGCAAAGAATCAGACACAGACACGACTAAAGCGACTTTGCATTCATCCAAGTCAAGCGAATGAACAGATAGGGCAGTGCAGCAGAAGAGAGTGGAGAGAGGGAATGTATCTGAAAGGGACACAGACATCTCAAGGGAGTAAAATCCTCTGAGAAGAGAATGCAGCAAAGTGGGTCCCCCAAAATGGAGATGCAAAAGGCTGGAGACCAGGCAAGAGGAAATTATTCTCCAAATTTCTCGCATACTACATAACAGGGACTGAGAAAGACACTTCTCAAGGTTGAGCATGACCTCCCAAACCTGTTCCCTAGGTTCACTCCCAGCTCATAGGTCCAACTGCTCTTTTTTCACTTATCTAGACATACAGTGCAAGCTTCCCTGGCAGATCAGTTGGTAAAGAATCCACCTGCAATGCAGGAGACCCTGGTTCAATTCCTGGACCAGAAAGATCCCCTGGAGAAGAGATAGGCTACCCACTCCAGTATTCTGGTTGGAAGAATTCCATGGATTGCATAGTCCGTGGGGTGGCAAAGCGTCGGACAAGACTGAGCAACTTTCACTTTCAGATACACAGTACAGATATTGTCACACACCTAAATCTCTAAGCGGTTACTCTGAACACAGTGTTACCTTCGAAACATTTTTTTTCCATTTGACTGAGATATAACTGACATACAGCACTGCATGAGTTTAAGGTGTACAGCATAATGATGTAACTTACGTACATGATGAAATGATTATCACAGTAAGCTTTGTGAACATTGATCACCTCATATAGACCCAAAATTTTAAAAAATTGAAAGAAACTTTAGTGATGAGAACCCTTAAGATTTACTTTCAACAACTTTCATATAAAACATTTTGTTGTTCAGTTGCTAAGTCGTGTCCAACTCTGCAACCCCATGAACTGCAGACCGCTAGGCTTCCCTGTCCTTCACTATCTCCTGGCATTTGCTCAAACTCACGTCCACTGAGTCAAAGATACCATCCAACCATCTCATCCTCTGTCGCCCCCTTCTCCTCTTGCCCTCAATCTTTCCCAGCATCAGGGGCTTTTTCCAATATGCAGCAGTGTTAATGACACTTACTTACTTGTGACTGGGAGTTTGTTTCCTTTGACCACCTTCATCCTGTTCCTCCTCCTGTCACCCTCCCTTTGGTAATCACAACTCTGATCTCTCTCTTTTTTTTTTAAGAATTTGCATGTTTTTGAAGTATAATTGACTTACAACTGCCTTCCAGTTACTAAGGAGAAGAAAACTCAGAACTGGTTTAGAGAAGTGGCTAATCTAATGGCTAATTTAGTGGGCTCATGTCTAATCTTCAAGTTCAATCTCCCTAGCTTCCTTAACTACATGGTCATTTTCTGTGGCTCCCCAAAAAAGGTAGCAGTTGTTTGGCATTTTATATCAGTGTCAAAGATGGTGCAGGCAAGTGAGTTGTAAGGACGGCTGGAGTGTACAGTGATGCACTGTTAGAATGTCGCCAGGAATTTCTGTGTCTTCTAATATTTCTTCTTCTAGCTGGAAAGTAGAAGTCACAAAAGCTGGGGCTGGTAACTGGAACCAAAATGTTATCATCTGCACCCAATTACCTAATAAAATCACAGGTGAGGAAACAAGACGTGGAGACTAGCAGAGGAACAAGGACCTTAGTGAAATCAGGTTCCTCAATAAATAATTATACACAGAATATATTATTAAACCTAGATCACTGATCTGCTTATTCTAACACTTACTGATTTCTATCACTCCTTGCTGCTGAGTCTATTTTAAAAACACACCATGGGCACCTGTTTTTAAAAATAAAGCCAATCTCCAAAAAAAAAAAAAGTCAACCTCTGTATCATTTTTTAAAATCCTGCATAATTCTATAATATAAATGATTGTTCTAATTCACTTTTTCAAAAATTTAGATTTTCAGTTCAGTTCAGTTCAGTCGCTCAGTCATGTCTGACTCTTTGCGACCCTATGGGCTGCAGCACACCAGGCCTCCCTGTCCATCACCAACTTCCGGAGTTTACTCAAACTCTTGCCCATCAAGTCGGTGATGCCATTCAGCCATCTCATCCTCTGTCGTCCCCTTTTCCTCCTGCCCCCAATCCCTCCCAGCATCAAGGTCTTTTCCAATGAGTCAAATCTTCGCATGAGGTGGCCAAAGTATTGGAGTTTCAGCTTCAGTATCAGTCTTTCCAATGGACACCCAGGACTGATCTCCTTTAGGATGGACTGGTTCTATCTCCTTGCAGTCCAAGGGACTCTCAGATTTTAATGTGGCACAATAGGTGGGTTTAGTGTAGAACATGCTTGAATTTGCTAATGATTAACTTTGCACAGTATGTCAGATGCTGTTTTGAAGATGTATGCATTACATGCTGATGATGTTTACCCGAAGTTCTAAAAAAAGCTGACATGACGTGGTGTGAAAGGGCACCACCAAGTCCATAACTAACTATAATGCACAAAAACAATGTCCTGATTCTCACTTGCGTAAATCGCCTCATTTTAAAAACACGTGGCGCTGGCTTGCTTTTCTCCAGGGAAATACCAACAGAGGAATTTATTTACATCTCACCTGAAGGGAAAGTGAGGGAGGTAAAATAGAGTCCTTGATTTAGAGATTTTTCGCCTTCCCCAGATTCCACAGGTTCCTCTCAGGTTCCTCTTCGGCCATGGCCTGTAACCTGTTTTTTCTCCATTTCCCTACACGTATTTACGCTCGTCTTTGATGCCGCCGTTAATCCTTAACGGCTCTTGCTCTGCTGATCTCGACACATCTTTCTCAGCGTCCTGATTCGTTCTAAGTCACCTTTTCTCTGGGTACCAGCTCTGTTTCCCGTGCCCCGAGCGCTCCCTCCCTCCCCTCCACCCACGTCCCTCCACGCGGTTTCCAAGCCCCCTCGCCGCTCCCTGGCGCTCTACTCCCCACCCCACCCCCGCCCCCTCCATGGCATCTCTCCCGCCTCGGCCAAAACTGGCACTACACAGACGCGCACGGGAAAAACGTGCGCAGGGCCGCCCGGGCGGGGGCGCCGGGCCGGGGGCGGGACAGGATGCTGCGCCGGGGGCGCCGTGTCTCCCCGCACGTCCGCGCCCGCGCCCCGCCCCCGGCCAGCTGCTGAGGGGGCCCGGCGGGGCGCCGCCCGGGTCGGCGGGGAGAGCTCTAATTTCCTGGAATCTGAAGCATTTCTAGGGAGATGCAAAAGGTCGCACGAGGGTTCTGCCTCTAGGGCAGGTTTTTGTTCCAGGCATCTAACCCCAAAACGCCCTTGCTGCCACTCAGCAGTGTCGGTCTGCATCCCCCTTGCTCCTCCATCTCGCCCGGGCTGTTTAGCCAGGGGTCGGCCTGGCCTGCTCTTATTTTCTGTTCTTTTCTCTGCCCTTCGCCTTCCCTTCTCCCCTCTTTTCTCTTCTACGTGTATTTCACATTTCCCCACGGCCTCGGATCTTTACAAAATCGTCCCTTTCTTTAGGAACCTGGAGTACCCTAGTCTGGTTTTTGTTGTTGTTGTTTTGTTTTTTAAAGATAATTTCGTTTACAAGCTGGGTGTTCAGGTCAATGACTTCTGACAGATAAACGCACCCATGCACTCACCGCCCCACAGATTTGCATCTTAGAAGCTCCCTCAGCGCCCTGATTCCTGCTACGGTTCCTGTCATTTTTCAGTCATACTGTATAGTTTTAGTCTTAGCTTTCATTCACCTTTCTCATATATTGGCAAATATTATTAAGTACCTTCTATGAAACAAGCTCTGATGTTACAGAAATTAAAAACTAGAACTAGTCGGTTTAAAAGGGAAGACCGAGTGGGACTGCTCTCCTTCCACCTACTTACTTCAGATAATACTACCCACCCCCAGCTCCCCATCCACCCCCCAACTCGCCCATCCACGCCCCCCCATCCCCTTTTAGACCCGCATACAACTTGGTCAGCTGACCAATCCTTCCTGAGAAATAAATTGACTTTTTTCCTGTTTTCTTTTTTCCTCAGGAAGGCTGAAGGTGAACGAAACACACTAAACGCGGAATAGCTGCTGAGGGGAAAGCACTAAAATGCGTAGAATTCCCTGAAGGGCGGGCGGGAGCCCTACTGAGAGAGTGGGAACTGTCACAGGCACTGTTCCCAAACCAATGAAGTCTGAGAATGCAGCTGTAAAGTCTTCTGGGCACGGGGCAGGATGTGAGTGCCTGGAACAGACTCATAAAAGAAGTTGCAGCATATGACGGTTGAGTTTAATGAGACACGTTTAGAAAAGATGGGGGAGTAGTTTACTGACCAGAGATGAAGATTTGAAGACTGCACCCCTTCACCCCACCAGCTCCCACAAAGGGTATACTGTTTGGTGGGAAGGGTGAAAAATCAAGCTAAGAAAAGCAGCCATGGGAATTCCCTAGTGGCCCAGTGGTTAGGACTCAGCAGTCTCACTGTAGAGGACCGAGGTTCAATCCCTGGTTGGGGAACTAAGACATAAGCTGCAGAGTCAAGAAAAGAAGTGAAAGAAAGAGAGAGACAGAGGCAGAGAAAGAAAGAGTAAGAAAGAAAGAAATAGAAAGAAAGTAGGTATAAGGACACAAAATGAAAAATAAGAAGGAAGGAAAAATGATAACAAAGATTTGTTGCGATATTGTTGTAAACCTAGCCCTCTTCCTGAGCCAGTGACACAGGGTTTCCACTTCCCTTTACTGTCACATGTTGCTCAAGTCTAGAAACTAAGATATCTGACCACCAACTCCTACCAAGGGAATAACCTCTAGACCCACGTAGTACGTGTTCTAATTACAAAACTGAGCCTCTTAAACAGTGCTGAGCTCTTTAGAGTTGAAACATTGCAACATAAAGAATTTGTCTTCTAGTGGTGTTAGAAGTGAGGGTGACTTCTTTCTCCCTTTTATGTCTTGTTCTCCGTTCTATTTTACTGAAGTACAAATATGCACACAGTAAAACAGGTAAAAATGCATTAATGTTAACTATACAGCTGGGTGAATATTTACATCCGTTTTCACCTCTATAGCCACTACCCAGATTAAGATCTGGATTCTAGAATACTTCTAGCTCCCCAGAAGGTTTCCTTGTGCCTGTTCCAGTCTATAGTCTCCCCCCTCACAGAGGTACCCACTATACTGACTTCTGTCATCATCAATTAATTTTGTTGTTCTTGATCTCTACGAAAATGGAATCATATAGTTTGCTTTCTTTTGTGCCAGGATTTTTTTTTTTCACTCAGCAGAGTGTCTGTGAGTATTGCATGGTATGAATCAGCAGTTCATTTCTTGTTACTGCCAAGTACTAACCATTTATGGATATGCCAGAATTTATGTAGCCAGTCTCCTGTGGATGTATACATTCACGCTCCTCCATTACTGTTTTTAGTTTTTAGCTATTATAAAACATCCCTGTCATTTGCCACACTTATGAATTCTTTTCTCTTGGGTATATATTTAGGAATTGCATTGCTGTGTTGCTATTTTTTTGGCAATAAATAATACATTCTAAATACAAATAAGTGAGCTACTTCTCTGTCTTAATATGTGTACAATATTGTAATATAAATATTTTATATACATTGTTTCAAGTGATCTTCATTACGTTTTTGTGAAGTAAGAAGAGTAGGTAATTCACTGAATGAGTTTCCCTAGCAGGGGCTGGATCTGGGACCCTAGTGTGTGTTCCCTTATGATTTTGAGTAATTTGGCTGGCATCTATCTACATAGTTGGTCTGTACTCTTGTTTCAGGATTCAGTCAAAAGGTCACCCTGTAATTCCAATCCAGCTTCTCACTGTCCCTCTAATTCTAGGCTCTCTCTTCCTTTCTGTTCCCCTCATCCTTCCCCGGAGTGGGGATGCTATGGGAATAGAATCACAGTAAGCCAACTGATAAAGCAGTGACAGCAGTAGAATGGGAGAATGCAGAGAGAAAAATAAAAGACTAAGGCACATAGAGGAGACCTGAGACAGTCAAAGAGGAACTGCCCAAGTGATAAGACCATGAACAACTTACAGAAATCGACAGAGACATCTTGCCCACAGTTCGAGGAACAGAGCAGAGGCACCAAGGCAACGGGCATAAGCAAACCCAGGAAGCTGAAACCCAGGGAGTCACAGGAGGGGAAAGACGTAGTCAGGTCTTGAACTAGGCCAAGCAGGATTCTGGAGAAAACAGTTGCAGCTGCAGAGGGAACCTTGCTAAGAACAGAGACAGTCCCAAGGAAGTATTTATTTATTCTCATATGCCTCTCTGAGTCATTTCGATTTCCACGGAAGGGACCAGCAGGAGGTTATAAAGAGGATACTCTTACTTCTGTATTGTTTTCCATTTCCTTTTCTAATGTGTAAAAAGGAACCTCCCAAAGACAAGCAAAAGCTAAGATCTTTCCCTTAGATGTAACCCTTTCAGTCTCTTGACTGTTCTTCGTCCGTCTCCTCAATATTTGCATCTCAAAATTTCTACAATTCCTTCTGTTTCTTTTCTTTCCATTTCTCCAGATATATGCCACTATCTTCAGCCTCCTTCAATCTCTCCTATTCTCTTTTCCAATATTCCCTGTATCTACAGTCAAACTTGTCCTCACATCTTAGCCAGGAACTTTGCTTCTTCCAAATCCATTCTCTATTCTTGCCTATAAGGTGTATTCTTGGACCTCTCAATCTTTGGATAAGACAACATCCGATAAAAACAATAAGAAGCAGCAGTTTTCTAAAGCTAGGAATTTTTTTTTTTTTTTGGCTGTGCTGAGTCTTCATTGTGGCATGTGGTTTTCTCTAATTGTGGTGCCCAGGCTCTCTAGTTACAGCTCCTGGGCTTAGTTGCCTCTTGGCATGTGAATCTTAGTTTCCCAACTAGGGATTGAACCCATGGCCCCTGCATTGGAAAGCGGATCCTTTTATTTATTTATTTTTGGCTGTGCTGGGTCTTCACTGCCGGGTGCAGGCTTTCTCTAGCTGTGGCGAGTGGGGGCTTCTCTTGTTGCAGAGCACAGGCTCCAGGCACTTGGGCTTCAGTGGTTATGGCTCCCAGGCTCTAGAGCACAGGCTCAGTAGCTGCGACACACAAGTTTAGCTGCTCCACAGCAGGTGGAATCTTCCTAGATCAGGGAGGGAACCAATGTCCTTTGCATTGCAAGGCAGATTCTTAACCACTGAGCCACCAGGGAAGTTCCCTTAAAGCTAAGATTTACTTTTTTAAAGGCAATTTTTAGAAAAATTAAAATATATACATACATAGATACTGAGAGAGCCTATAAAATTGTGCAGTACTTTGCTGAACAATGCAAAGCCCCCCAAGTTCCTGCCCTCGGGTTGATCAGTCTGGTCCATGGAGGGAACTGGAAAAGAAAGTCAAAGAATCCAGAGATTTTATTCATGTGGGAACAATCCAGAAAGGCTTCTGAAGTTAGAATCCTCCAGAAGTCAGAATCTGAACTAGTTCTTGAAAGATGGGTAAGAAAAGAGATAGGCAGAGGGACTTCCCTGGTGGCCCAGTGGTTAAGACTTGCACCTTCCAAAAAAAAAAAAAAAAAGACTTCACCTTCCAGTGCAGGGTTTGCAGGTTTGATCCCTGGTTGGAAAGCTAAGATTCCACATGCCCTGAGTTCAGTTCAGTTCAGTTCAGTTGCTCAGCCATGTCCGACTCTTTGCGACCCCATGAGCTGCAGCATGCCAGGCCTCCCTGTCCGACACCAACTCCCAGAGCCTACCCAAACTCGTGTCCATTGAGTCGGTGATGCCATCCAACCACCTCATCCTCTGTTGTCCCCTTCTCCTCCTGCCCTTAATCTTTTCCAGCATCAGGGTCTTTTCAAATGAGAAAACATGCCCTGAGACCAATAACCAAAACATAATACATAAGGAATATTGTAACAAATTCAATAAAGACTTTTAAAATGGTCCACACATTAAAAAAAAAAATCTTAAAAAATTTGTTTTTTAATTCTTTAAAAAAAGAGAGAGAAAGGTTAGAGAAGGGCATTTCAGAAAGATGGGATGGCCTGGGCGAAGTAATGGTGCTAGGAGATTTGTGCAAAAGTTTGGAGAAGACTGCTATTTTGGATCTTGCTCAAGAGTAGAGCCCTTATAGGAATCCAATAAGAGATTATGTTTTTCTAAAACCAAGTTCAGACTCTGCTACAGCAGTCTTTGAATACCATACATGCTACTTTGGGCATGAGCCCTTAGGTGACGCAAAATCTTACTGCGTATTTTTCTTTTTTACAATATCAACATACCGCTTGTACTCCAGAGACACCAAATCTGTCACTTTATCTTACGTGCTTCACAACAACTAAAATACGGTCTCCTCG